TCACACCTCCTATTTAGGATCATGGGGAGGTGGAGCCTCTCCTGAAATCTATAGGTGTGAGAAATCACAGCACTCCATGCCAACACAGGGAGACCATGACATCTCCACACACAAGGGCAGGGCGGAGACTCAAACCCTGGTGCCAGAGGTGTGATGGCAATTTGTCCCCCTTTGCCATGAAAATGAACTTAATCCCAAAAACCCATTTCCACTGCATTTCAGCCTTGCCACGAAAGGACTGCTGACATCATTTCAGTGATTCTCAAGTTAACACAGATGAGAGTGTTGACGAGGACAAGGCTAGAGATTACTATGTCATGCTGATTCAGTTAGAATAGCAGACTGGATACTTTAAAAGGAGGGTGGTGCTTGAAATCATTGTTCTTCCTCTGTTAACCATGGTAACCTGCAAGGAAACACATGCAGTCATCATTGCTTTGCACAAAAAAGGGCTTCATAGGCAAGGATATTGCTGCTAGCAAGATCACATCTAAATCAACCATTTATCGGCTCATCAAGAACTTCATGGACTGAGGTTCAGGTGTTATGAAGAAGGCTTCAGGGTGCAGAATAAAGTCCAGCAAGCACCAGGACCGTCTCCTAAAGTTGATTTAGCTGCGGGATCGGGGCACCACCAGTGCAGAGCTCACTCAGGAATGGAAGCAGGCAGGTGTGTGTGCATCTGCATGCACAGTGAGGAAAAGACTTTTGGAGGATGGCTTGGTGTCAAGAAGAGCAGCAAAGAAGCCACTTTTATCCAAGACAAACATAGTGTCTTGGGACAGACTGATATTCTGCAAAAGGTACAGGAATTGGACTGCTGAGGACTGGGGTAAAGACATTTTCTCTGATGAATCCCCCTTTCTGATTGTTTGGGGCATCCGGAAAAAAGATTGTCTGGAGAAGAAAAAGTAAGCGCTACCATCAGTCCTGTGTCATGCCAACAGTAAAGCATCCTGAGACCATTCATGTGTGGGGTTGCTTCTCAGCCAAGGGAGTGGGCTCAATCACAATTCTGCCTAAGAACACAGCCATGAATAAAGAATGGTACCAAAACATCCTCCAAGAGCAACTTCTCCCTACTATCCAAGAACAGTTTGGTGACGAACAATGCCTTTTCCAGCATGATGGAGCACCATGCCATAAGGCAAAAGCGATAACTAAGTAGCTCTGGGAACAAAACATCAACATTTTGAGTCCATGGCCAGGAAACTCCTCAGACCTTAATCCCATTGAGAACTTGTGGTCAATCCTCAAGAGGCGGGTGGACAAACTCCAACCACTAATTATTCAAGAATTGACTGCAATCAGTCAGGATTTGGCCCAGAAGTTGATCGACAGCATGCCAGGGTGAACTGCAGAGGTCTTGAAAAAGAAGGGCCAGCACTGTAAATATTGATTTTTGCATAAAATAAAAGCCTTTGATACTTACGAAATGCTTGTAATTATACTTCAGTATACCAGAGAAAGAACCATCTGACAAAAATATCCACAAACAGTGAAATGACAAAACCAATACTTGTGTCATTCTCAAAACCTTTGGCCTCAGCTGTATATTTAATCTATACAGAAATTTAAAACTTAATAGCTGGAATAAAACCATTTTATCTATAAGGTGAAATGTATTTTAATTAATCTAAAAAGACTTTGCTGCATACACCTGGGTGCACTGTCCATGATAAGTATTTTTTTATTTTTTTTGCAAATACTGCATATGCTGTACTTTAATTCCTACTTTAACCCCAGTCCTAAATGTGATTTGTCTGAACTATCGACCCTCATAAGCTGCAGATCTCCTTACCTTCAGTGAGTACACGCACACTCCACAAGAGCAGACTGAACGCAAACCCCAGGGTTTTCCTCTGCATATTTGCATCTGCTGAAACAGTATCACTGAACTGAAGTTTTCTTCTTGAGTTGGTGCTCAGACGGTTAATATACCGGTAATTAATTTAAGGCAAAAGCAAAACTAAACTGTGGTCAGAAGAATGTAGTCA